GTTTCCCCAGTAGGCCTATTCCACTGTAAAGAAATCCGTGCTTTCTTCCCGTATTTAATTACTTTAAATACATGTCTCTCACAGACATGGTATCTCTTACAGACATGGTGTCTCTTACAGATATGGTGTTTCTTACAGACATGGTGTCTTTTACTCTCTCACCTTTTTTAAAATTAGGTCATTTTTTCCATAAAAATTAGCAAAATTATATAAATCTCTTTCACACATGTTTTTCTCCTTATTTGTTTTCTCAAACAGGCATGATGTCTTTCACATACATGTTTTTCTCTCTCATGCGAACATTATATTTTTTATCATAATTTTTTTTTAAAAATGCTCCAAAAATATCTACAACCTTTTTTTTCTATTTTAGAACTTCTTTGTATACCACATTAGTGGTTCTCCCTTCAGGCGCTAGTATCACAAGACTGTTTGGTGAGCTCACTCTCGAACATGCCACATAGAACTGCCCATGTGAGAAACAGTCTTCACTTAAATCAATTCCTGCTACTTTTAACGACTGCCCCTGGGACTTGTTGATAGTCATCGCAAAACAAACTTTGATAGGAAACTGCAACCTCTTAAACTCAAAAAGATACTCTGACGATATTAGTGGTATGCGTGGTGTAAATACCGTCTCTCCCCGTGCACATCCGGTGAATATTGTGGCCTCGATAACATTTCTATGTAGAGCCTTCACTTGAAGTCTTGTGCCATTGCAAAGTTTTGGCGGATTCAAATTTCTCAACAACATCACTGGTGCCCCCACTTTAAGAAAAAGCTTATGGGCTGGTAAGCCAGGAGGGTTCATTATGTTAAGAAACTCTACTGGGTAGTTGACCGCGTCATCCGTATCTACCACCGAGTCCACAGATCTGTAATTCATTTCTCCTTCCTCGAATGATTTAAGAAGAATGTCATTAATGACACCAGCTTTATCATTCCTAGGGGTCAGAATGGCACGCTCGCACAGCCAATCCATAGATTTTTCTTTGATATCCGCAATATCAGGGTATATCTTATTAATAAGACTCTCTAGGCTTTTTACTACTAAACCTAGATTTGCAGGAATAATCACTTTTCCTTCCGTCTCAGGATACTCTCCATCTCCAATTTTTAATAGTAGTTTTGAAAATTGCCCTGCAAAAACATCACCTTTCAAGTGTATCCTCATGTTTTTCCTGATAGAGATTTTCCTGATAAGGGACCACAAATGTGATTTCTTTACACACGCCTTAACTTCGTCTGCTCGAGTTCCCCTTGGCACTACTGGCAAAGTCTGTCTGAAATCTCCAGCAAGCAGCACGGTCACTCCCCCCATTACTCCATCGTTATTCCTAATATCTTTGAGGGTTGTGCTCAATGCCTCAAAACCCCCCTTATGTGCCATGGTACTTTCATCCCAAACAATGAGCTTACAATCCCGTAGTACTTTAGCCATGTTACTTTGTTTTGAAATATAGCACAGAGGTATTTCTGTTTGAATTAAATTCAGAGGAAGCTTAAAAGCAGCGTGAGCGGTCCTCCCTCCCTCCAACAAAGTAGCAGCGATACCTGACGACGCAACAGCCAAGGCAATTCCACGTTCTCTCCTTACCCTCGCCAGAAGTAAGTTGATGAGGAAGGTTTTCCCAGTACCACCTGGAGCATCTAAGAAAAATACCTGACCATCTCCTGACTCTACGCTACTAAGAACCTGCCGATAGACAGCGAGTTGCTCATCTGTTAATAAACCCTCGTTATTCAATACCACTTCTTCCAAGGCATTTACATCGTAGTTTGTCTCCCTCAAATAGTCTCTGTTCCCCAATACCTCTCCAAACCTTTTTGGCTGAGGCAGGCCATACTGTTCCAACTCCTGTCCTCCCAAAGACATCACTGCGTCCTCAATCATTACCAGGCATCTGTTGTACACCTCATCTATCATGTTCTGCGCACTACCTTTCAACTCTCTCTCTACCTGTCGCATAATATCCTCTGAGAAGCTGTCTTTGTACTTTTCCCAAAGACTCAGAGGTTCACAAAGTTGGCAAAATGCCAACATCACTGTGAAAAGCTCCCTCAGCTTTAAAGGTGAATCACATAATGCAGCTTCCTCCAAGGTATTGTCCCATTGCTTGTCATCTTCCAATAAACCTAATGCCTTGCATGTAGACTGGAATGTGGAACAGAGGACACCATTCACAGTCCTCAGATCTAAAAAAGACGTTGGACCTCGAATTTCATGTAGCAACAAACGTAGATAATAACACTCAGTGTTGTTTGGATGGATGGTATACACTCTTCCCAGTACGTGGTCCTTCTTTATTCCTGACCAACCATCCACATCTTTCCCCCTCTTTCTTCTCTCGAACTTATTATTTTTCCAAACATAGTATGAAGGAACCTCATAGTACAGGAGAGTTTTTGCAAATTCGTCAGTTTTGCAAAGTTCAAAAAAAGCCAATAGTGTTGTCTGAGGTGGGTTATTCATCCTCTCAATTAAGTTTGTAGAGTTGAAGTACACACGCTGACCATTTTCAAGGTGAACATTGAGATGGAAGACAGAGGGGTACCTCTCATGTATTGGGAACGCCAAGATTCTCCAAACCGCCTCTGAGCTACTAATGTACCGCCCACTCTCGTACATCTTCACCTCATCCTTCTCACTCTCCAGGGCAAAAACCGCCTGGTCACTTCCCTTGTTCACGTACTTGCAAATGTATTTAATAGACTTTACAGAATTGCATAATTCCACATTAATATGAGCATTAAAAATACGTAACAATACAGGGTTGTACGGCACCACCCAACGATTGTCCAGTTCTATTCCATTGATTTCTACGGTGTATCCACCATTAGCTGGAGACCTCCTCCGATACTGTGGGTATCCATCGCCTCCTGTCTGAGTGTTATTTTGAAATATTCGCGGATACCTCTTACTGCAGCTACCATTTTTCATGCAAGGCGAATTGTGGTTTAAGCCCCCGCATGGACCATGAATCATGTTGGCTTTAACGATATTGTGTAGAAGAGAGTTTTTTAAAGGATTAGGTATTTCTGCACAGATGACTTTGTCGATCATATCAGAGAAGATGCGCTGCTCTAGCCACAGCAATATGTGTATGTGAGGCAGACCTCGCTTTTGCCACTCCACAGAGTACATATAGCAACACACTTTTCCAAACAGACTACCTTTATTCAATAGAGCCATCATTTTCTTCACCTTAAGATGAAATACCCTTGCTATAATGTCGTGTTGATCGTGAGTTTTTTGCCCAGGCAATAATGCATCTGTTATATCCTTCCACTTTGGATTACAGGTAAAAGTGATAAACAAATCAGGACGGCCGTGGTAGCGAAGGTATGTCATTGCGTCTTGTGTCCGCTCATGCATGTAGCGAGGTCCTCCAGTGAAAGATGACGGAAGCACCACCATTTTACCCAGCCGAGAAACGTCAGCATCCTGCCTTCCCACGGCATCCCTCAGGTGAATGTAGCTTTCTGCCCTAAGCTGCGCCTGGTTGTTCCTAATATAGTTCAACCTTTCTGTCTCTATTTTGGCGTACATGTCAACCAGAAACTGACTAAAAAGAGAACGGAAGTACACTAAGTGATTGACTTCCCCTTCTCTAATCATAATTCGATATGAGTAAAAGCTCGCTGCGGAAACTAAATTCTTATGTTGCAACTTGGTCTGATGGTCTCGCTGAGGAATGGCAATCGAGTATCCATCCTCGCCACGGCAAAACATGAGCGGGTACTGCAAGGCGTCGTACGACCGGTGGACCTCGCTGATGCGCCGCAGTTTGTTATCGTGGCTCTGCAGCACGATGTCTCGCTTGTTGAATTCCTGACCCACAATCACCAGAGCTACCTCATTTGCTATTGGTGCGTTAAAGCAACCTCTATGAGCGTCATCTGGTTTTCTGTCTGCATGGATAACAACTTCAAACTTTTTGCAATTTGGAGATACCTTATCCAAAGTGGTTTTCAGGTCCTTTATATAGGTGTTGACGTCATGTAGCATTCTCTGTAGTTCTTTGACTAATCCCTGTTTGACATCTGAAAAATTGCTACATCTTAAACGCACTTCCCTGTCATTCTCTCCCACAAAATAAATTTGAAGAAATTGAGCTTCCTGTTCAGGTAATGGCAGCAGACTTCCTACCAAGTGATATACCTGCCCCTGAACTTTAAAGGTCGGTATAAAGCCATCTTGTAGAACCTGCTTACCGCCGAATGATGTCATACTAAAGCAACCATTGTACTTTCTAATATTGTTCATAAAGTGAACGTGCTTTGGATGTCTGCCCATTACCAAACTATATAGAGGCTCGGGCAGAGGTTCTAAGGGTGCAAGTTGCACCTTTCCAGCGCTGCAACACATGCCAGGGGATTCTTCCTGCCATTTAAGAGCATTGCAATATTTGCACTTGTGACTCATGGTTCCCAAAGCTATAGTGCTCTCTGTCTCATAGCCACGTCTGGATCATATGCCATACCTGAGTGAGCTTTAACCGTCCACGGAAGTATTCGCCTTTCTACTCTTCTTCCAGGATTACTTTGTTCATATCGAGACTCTGCCTCTCTGTGCACCTCGGGATTATTTTTTTGGTACCTAGTCACTGCTGTTCTGTGCATTTCTAGATTTTTTTGTTGGTACCTAGTCACTGCTGTTCTGTGCATTTCTGGATTTTTTTGTTGATACCTAGTCAC